TAGAGACAGGGTTTTCACCATGTTGGCGAGGCTGGTCTTGAACTCCTGACCTTGAGATCCACCCGCCTTAGCCTCCCAAAGTACTGGGATTACAGGTGTGAGCCACCGCACCCTGACAGCAAACTGCTTCTTATTAGCTGACCTTATACATTTCAATGAAACAAACTGTGAAAAATGACACATACACCCAGATCTCAGGCAGTCATGATATTAGAAAATACTTTGTTAATGGTTTTACAGACAGCATTTGCTTTAAGAATAAAATTCTGTCTACAGCAAATCCTTTTTCTTCCATTTGCTTCTCATCTAAGGGATGAACGTTATCAAATGCTGTTATCATTGCCCAGTTACTTTAAATAATCAGCTTTAAAACTGATTGAATCTATTTTCTTTATCTTATTATCTTAGACCATAGCAATTTTAAAGAACTCAAATAGAATGATAGCAGTCCATGATCCAGTGTCATATATTTCTTGTTTCTTTTCTTTCTTTTTCTCTTTATCTTGAAATTTCCTTTTTGTTCTAATGTGAAAGTAAAAATCTAAAAGGAAAATAATTAGCTATTCATACTCTTCTAACATAGCCACATGTTCACATGATAAATGAAACATAACCACACAAAACTGCTAAAATGACATCCTTATTGTAGGCCCAATTTACTTAATTTTATGTCTTCAAACTGTTAAGGGTCACTCATTCTATAAAATTAATGGCTGAAATAAATTTACAATTTAAAAAACATGAGGAAAATATTTATTCATGCAATGTATGGCCAACCTGTGTAATTTATTAGCCTGGGAGGTCATAGATTCAGTCAAGAGATGAATTAGAAAAGCTAGATAATTTTTTGACAAGTCATAATACTATAGTTGTGAATATTAAGAAAAGGTACTAACAGAATCTCATGCTTCAGAGTACAAGCTGATCATCCTAGGAGCTTTGAAGGACTTCTCTTATTTTCTTATTGATACTCTGAGCAAGTGGCTGGATTCATATTGAGGTTGTACCTCTTCTTGAAAGTAACTATTATTGTGAACAGGATATCACATTTAGATCACATTGGGGTTTTGTTGCTGTTGTTGTCTTTGTGACATCACCCAAGCTGGAGTGCAGTGGGGCGATTATGACTCATTGCACCCTTGACCTCCTCGGCTGAAGTGATCTTCCTGCTTCAGCCTCCTAAAGTGCTGGGATTACAGGCATGAGCCACCATGCCTGGCCTGTTTTTTTTTGTTGTTGTTGTTGTTTTTTTTTGGTCTTTTTGGCAACGAAAACCACAAGTGTCTGCTAATACAATACAAAAAGAACAATGAAATGACATGTGAGTTTAAACTTTTGAAAGAGTTTATTCGTTAATTCAATGAGTATTTATTGAGGGCCTATCATGAACCTATCACTGTCCTTGGTGTTTGGAAAACAACATGGAGCAAAATGGAGAAAAATTCTTGCTTTCATGAAAACCCGCTTTTATTTTATTCCAAGGCATTAGTATTGAACTCTATAATCTTGTGATATGAAATTAGTTCAGAAGTGAGTACGGTACAGCTTTTCAGGTGCAGCTTCTCTTGAAGCTATCTGTCCCCATACCCTACTTAAAATAAAGTGACAAATACTCTCATTTAAAGAAGGGAAGAAATGAGAGACATGCAGCAGTTAGCAGCCCATAAAACTTCTGAAGTCTAACCTTTCAGATGTTGCTGGGTCCCTCTATTCAAGAAGCACAGAATGTTTTTTGATCAGGCCCCAGTTCTTCCTAGGCTCAACTCCATTACTTACTGTCCTCTGATGTTCTTCTCAGAGGAAGGAAGTTTATTGTCCTGTGGGCTCTTCCCTCTACTCTCTGAGACACTCTCAGTTTTCGATAAAAGATAGCTTATGTTTGCAGCTGGGTGGCTTTCTTAGCCTGCTTCCTGAATGTAGAAAATTGGGGGCCCAGAGAAATCTTTTCATTTTGAACTTTTCTTAGTCCAAGCTTGCAGCGATTTTTATCATTATAACTCTTTTTAAAACTTTGTGGAGCTTTGTGGACCTCCTATGAATATGATTTGGGCCTATTTCATGCCCTAAAGACCACATCACTGATTCTTTTTGAGATAGCCACTCTCACCTTTGGGCTGCATACTAGGCTGCTGTGATACATCCTTAAGATTCTAGGCACCACCTTACACCATTCAATGGTTTAACAAGGGGTCTTTCAGCCATACCCTTGATCTGGATCTTCACTGTGAAGTCATTTCCTTTTTTTTTTTTTTTTCCTGAGACAGGGTCTTGCTCTGTCACCAAGGCAGGAGTGCAATGGTGTAATCATAGCTCACTGCAATTCAAATTCCTGGCCTCAAATGATCACCTCACCTTGGCTTCCCAAAGTGCTGGGGTTATGGGCATGAGCCACTATACCCAGCCAGTCGTTTATTACTTTGAGAATCTTTTAATGGCTAGAGATACCAGAAATATGAAGTATTTTCCTCCCAACTCTCAAGTCCTGGATCCTTTATATTGCTTATCAATTCTGCACAAAAACTGCACAGTTCTTTCTTCAGCTCATTTCTCTTGTTTTTGTATGATACCTTATACAATTTTAAAAAATCTACTCCTTCAACATTTTGCCAGGCAATCTCCTTAGCTGATTCTCTAGCTGATTCTCTAATTCACTGGGTAAATTTTCTTTTTCTTTTTTTTTTCAGACAGAGTCTTGTTCTATTGCCCAGGCTGGAGTGCAGTGGCACAATCTCGGCTCACTGCAAACTCTGCCTCTCAGGTTCAAGTGATTCTCCTGCTGCAGCCTCCTGAGTAGCTGGGATTATAGGTGCTCGCCATCACGC